GCGCTTAGTGTTCAACAACCTAGAGGTACCGCCGTGCACGCGCACGGGCCAGTGCCTTATGTCCTCTTGTGGCTGCAGACTACGGACTACTTCACGCCCCCATCCATGAATATCACGCAGGCGGGCAAGTGCCTTATCTCCTCTGGTGCGGACTGCTTCACAGCCCCACGGTCGTCTTCCTTGGTTCTTCCGTCTTTCTCCACCTCCTCGCCTCTCTCTCCCCTCAAATCCATGGCGACCGAAGATCCAAGGCCTCCTCCTGGTGGCCCCCAGCCATCCTCTGACGACAAGTCAAGTTGATCCGACGACCCGTGAGGTTTCGAAGGAGACGTTTGGACGGGGATAGGGAGTGAGACAGGGATAAGAGATATTTTATCCTAACCCTCCATTCTTTATATTTCATTTAATCCTAGCCTATTCATTCATTTCTATTTTTCTATCCCACCCCTATATCTCAGTATCCAAACAACATCTTAGGGATTTGACATGTGAGCCCCACGTGTCTAGCCCTTTCCATCTAGGCAATTTTTTTTATCAAAAACCAAACCAAAAAATATTGAAGCCGAATTTTTTGGTACCCTGCTCAGTTCATAATTCTCAGGATCTTTATCTGGGTAAACCGAATTTACCAAACTATATGAAGTATGCTTAGTGTGAGTATTGTTATATTATTGATTATACTATTCTACACATATTATATTATGTGTTTGTGGTACTCTACTCTTATAGTCTCATGAACTTTTAAATGTATCTATTTGGCACTATTATTCTCTATAAATTCATCATGTCAAAATTATATCAAAATTGGCTTTTGAATATGCTATTACATGACTCTCTGTGATCAGTTCGGTATTTTTCGGTAAATACCAAAACCGAACAAAAATACCGAAACCGAATTTCCTTAGTACCGATTTTTTAGAGGTACCGATGAGTACCTGTTTTCCAAGGAACCGAATTTCTTTGGAAACCGAAGTATGAAACCAATACCGAATGCCCAGACCTACACGTGTCATAGTTTCATCCTATTTGTCAGTAATCTCAAACCAAACACTGGACATGGATGCATCTATGAATTGCATGATACGAAAAGGACAAGTTTGACTTCATGTGCCATATTTACTTTGTAACATGCACTTTAATATAGAGCCGCCTCTACAAATGCTTCACAAACGAGCCACCCCTACAAATTCATTTGTAGGGACGGCTGGTGTTATCAGTTGCCCCTACAAATAACCCTATTTGTAGGGGCGGAATCCGATTTGTAGGGGCGGCTCTATATTGAGCCGCCTCCTACAAATAGACGTCAAATAGTAAAAATTTAGTGCTAAAATTTGATTTTTTAACGGAACTCGGATGAAGAAATGACAAAAATAAAAGTTGTGGATCTCGAAAAATTATAGAACTTTGCTGTTTACAACTTTTTCATTTAAAATTATTTATTGTTTGAAAATGCTGTTAGAAATTTAATTTTTAAATTATTGAAGAACTCTTATTTCTCTTTTTAATCTCTAGCTAAAACTTGTAACTAGTCTTTCTCCCTCATACTAACTTTAAATTTTATGATTTTTTCCTAAAATTTTCTAAAATCATGCTCTATCAATGTATTGTGTTCTTACAATTATTATTTTGATCATCTTTTCATGTGACTGTGTTTTATTTTTTTAAAATTTGAATTTCAAAAAATGATAACTTCAAACGTCGTTTTGAAATATCAAATTATTTCAGCTGAAAAATCATGAACATAAAAGTTATAGAACTGATTAAGATCTACAACTTTTATTTTGATCATTTCTTCACTCGATAAAGTGGTAGTAACGTTGTTCATAAATTTTACATATCCCTCTTATAGTTATAGAATTGATTAAGATCTACAACTTTTTCATTTAAAATCATCTTGTCAAGGAAAACTACGTTTGAATTTTTCAAGTTTAAAATTTGAATTTTTTAACGACCTCGGATGGACAAACAACAAAAAGGAAAGTTATAGACCTTAAAAATTTATGCAACTTTGTAGTTGACAATTTTTTGATTTGAAATCATCTTGTCAAGAAAAACTACGTTTGAATTTTTAAATTTTGAAATTCAAAAATTTTAAACGACCTCGGATGGACAAATAGCAAAAACAAAAGTTATAGATCTTGAAAAGTTATACAATTTTGTAGTTGACAACTTTTTAATTTGAATTCGTTTAGGTCTCAAACACTCAATTTAAATTCAGTTGAGAATAATATGAGGAGAAAAAAATCCAATGCAGACACAAGTGAGTGTGAGGTGTAGTGACTAGAGGAGTATCGCGTGAGGGGAGGTCGCGGGTTTGCATCCTGCCGGCTGCGAAGTGCGCGCGAAAAATGCCGCGACTTACGTTGGAGTGGGCGGGTGGATGACTGGTGGGGCCTCCTTGGATTTAAAAAAGTTTTTTTTGCTATTTTGTTTGGTATTTTTTAGGTCCAGGTTCATTATTTCTGGAAAATGAGCCGCCCCCACAAATAGCCAACCTCCCCTACAAATCATCGATTTGTAGCAACGGTCCATAAGGCCTGCTGACAAAACCGTCTCTACAAATGCTTATGAGCCGCCCATACAAATCCGGGCTGTAGTAGCGTAAGATAAGAAGAAAGAGATGAACATGCATGTAAAATTTGAAAAACATTTGGTCAAAGACGGCTAGATTTAGAGCTGTCTCCTGGAGATAAGGCCATTAATTTGTAGCGGCGGTTGAAATAAAATACCAGCCGTCTCTACAATTGTATCTGTAGAGACAACTCGTGTCGGAAACCATCTTTTGAGATGGTTATAGATTAAGTCATGTCTATTGATACAAAGAAGACGTCTCTGCAAATGGTTTTTTAAGCAGTGGATTATAATCCTCTAGAATATCAAATGAATATTTGTCTCGGTCAGGATATTAACGGAGCTAAAAACATTTAGTGGGTAAGCTAAACAATAGTGTTTAATGGTGCTAAAATGTTTTAGCTACAAGTGGCACGTGCACCATAATTTTCAAAACCTAGTAGCTACTAAGTAGAGAGTCGCACGCAAAACGGTACATGCATGCTGTGGTGGCAGAACATATCCACATTACGTTTCGTGCTTGACTCGGACCAAGTCTTGATTATTCATTTCGCAACTTGTACATATTTTGGCTGAGCCGACAGACTCTCATCTTCAATTATACCCATTTTATTGTACAATTTGACACATTGTTATATATGCAAAATAAACATTTGCAACTATATATTTTTCACCAGAAAAATAGTTTATATATTATTCCTTCATACACATAACCTTTTTAAAAAACCATTAAGATACGTAGTGTTTGGTGGGATATCCTACATTGAATTGGTGTTTGGTTCTGTGACTGAGTTAGAGATGTTCCACTAGAGAATATACCAAAGATGTGGGATGACTACCAAAAATAACAGATAAAGTCAGTTTAAGTGGGACAAACATAACTTAGGGCACGCACGGGTTGAGGGTGTCGAGCCAAGCCCAGCAGCTACGTCTAGGACCAAGGGCAGCGCGGGGTCCGTCAGGAAAAAAATTAGATACGGGCCATCCTGACGCGAACTCCATACGGACCTGCGGCTGATCCAGGACACGTGGACTACGGTATGTACGTGGAGGAACAAAGACTTCGCATGGAGAGGCTATGGTCCGTGAAATCCGCATGGTCAATCAGGGTATATTTTCATCCACACATGGTGAATCAGCCCCAGGGCTGCACGACGTTTGTGTACAGACAGTCCTCAATTTTTTTTCCATCCGTCAAAACAGATACAAGATCATTCTGCTCCATCTTGTCTTCCAAGTTCCAACCAAACACTACCTGATATTTGTGCCACAGACGCTCCACTGGCAAAATGATATAGAACATCTCTAGTATAGCTTATAGTCTATTTATGATTAAATTAAACTGAAACTAGAAACTAAACGGTAATTTTTTTGCAGTTTTCTTTATAATGATTCTCCTACAACATCTAACTTTGAAAACAGAAACTTGATCAAACCAGTTTATTTAACCACGCTTTTTAAGGACAGTTCCAAACAGTTAGCGTCATACTCTCTTTATCCTTAAATATAAAGGATTCTAGAAGACAAAAATCAATTTTGCTTTAAATACTTTCTATTTATCAACCAATCACCATTAATAACGTGGATGGTATTGCCTGATTAGAAAATAAAATGAGGGCACATACGTCTTTTATGTTCTCTCTTGTTTCGTCTTAAAATTTGTAGAATGTACAGAGAGAGTAGGCTGTTTGTATTCTTGGGTCCAAAGTTTAGTTGAATAAAGTTAAGAATTAAAATTTTAGATCATTTTAGCTCACTTGTGTGCTCTAAAGTTTTACGAGATCATCTAAACTTTAGATATCACTTTAGACCCCCTGATTGGATCCTTAAGAGATTAAATAGTCTGGCTAAACTTTAGATCATGAGATCCGAATAGAGCTTTGCCACTAAAAACATTGTCAATGAACCTCTGGAGTAAATAAATTTAGAAAAATGCAAGCACCGGCGTTAATTCAAGGAGTTAACCTGGAACAAACAGGTTCCACCGCAATAAGCAACCTAACTAACGTGATCAGAAGTTAATCAAAGAATGGCCAAGGTAAAATAAGACGAACAACACAACACAAGACAAAATTTCTTTTGTGCTGCTCCAAGCAACTCCGCAGCTTAATTTTCAGGGGTTTCATTCTTATAGTCTTATTTGACGTACAAAAGCAACAAACATGTGTGGAGATATCCATATTCAAGGCGTGCGTGTGACCTCAGAAACATGCATGCACACAGGTCACTAAGTACACGACACACGGCACAGACAATCGACCAACAACTGTTTGGTCGTGTGCACTCCAAATCAAAACTACAAACATGCATGACGTAAGTAACAAATGACGATGACCCACACGGCACAAGCCACAATTAATGGAACGTTAATTATGTGACAATTAAAACACGCCATGCATAGAGTACGTAGCTATGCTCCACGGGCAGCATCAAGCAAGACGCGACCAAGTCACGCCGACGCAGGCGTCGACGAAGTCCTCGTCGATGAAGTCCGTGGACAAGACCTGCAGCTTGTCGCCATGGCCCTTGGCAAACACCTGGGAGATGAAGAGCCGCGCGAACCTGTGGATCCGCCGCGTCACCGGCTCAACAGCCGAGGACACGTACACGTTGTCGCCCTTAGGCGTTGCCGTGTTCTCCACCCGGTACCAGTACTTCCTCCCGGACACCGGAGGCTGCCGGCTCAGCGAGCTGAGGTTGCTGTCGAACTTGGTCTTGGGCATGTCCGTGTCGATCCAGTCGTCCCTGAGGTACCCTGCGCTCCACAGGAGGCCGCCGGGGTTGGGAGCCGGCGACTGGCTCGGCTTCCACACGCAGATGACCCGCCTGGGGAGCAGCTCGGCGATGGTCTTGTTGAACACTTGGTCGTCCTGCCGGATCAGGTGGTCGCCGAGCCTGTCGACGAGGAACTGATCGAACCCCGCCGGGTCTTGCTTGCCAAACTCGGTGCGCATCTCGAGGATGATGATCTCCGAGCTTGTCTCGGCCAGGAACCTCTTGACGTCGTCCAGCACGACGTCGACGGGGTAGCCGGTGACGATCCCGTGGCAGACGCGGCGGTCCTCCTGGACGCGCACGTCGAGGACCCGGCACCCCGTGGCGAGCTGCTCGTAGACGGACAGCGTCTGGCACTGCGCGAAGGGCCGGGTGATGAGGTCGATGCCGATGCCGTTGGTAGCCGAGTCGTGTGTGCCCGGCCACACCACCTGGTGCACGCGCACGTTGTTGGGTCCAAGGCCTTCCATCCACGTCTTGCGGTTCTCCGGCCGGTGTCCCGACCCTGGGAACGAGTCGCCTGACGACGAGAGCAGCGCCTGCAGCGCCGCCTCCTCTCTGCCGACTTCCTGCAAGCGTGTCACGGCGCCGAGGGGACTGACGGCATTGACAGCCTCGTCGACCTTGGTCAAGATCGAACCCATAGCACTGGCCTATTGTTGCAATTGCTGTTGGAAGAATCTGTTAAAACCTCCTATTTATATAGGCTCTGGGCATCTCAAACACACACATATAATAATAATGCATTATTGTCACAGGCTCACAGGTCAACAGGACCTTGTCATTGTAAAATCATCACAAACGCGGGCATATCTGCTCAACTCACAGGGTTACGTAACACCACACCAACTCCTTGTTCTCCGGTTCGCTGTTCTTTTTCTATATGTTTCTATTTTATATACTAGTCCATGAAACCGTACTCTCGCAGCTAAAATTTTAGGAGATATATATAAGTATTATTTACTGTTTAATACTTATGACGAATAAAGAATTATTTATATGAAATTGTATGTTTTTCTCTTTGTTTATTTTTTAACATAATGAACATAGATATTCGTAGTCTATATCCGGTTATCGTAAACTTATTAATAATTTTTTTTTGCAAGGGGCTGACCTATACATTTTTTCATTCGTATTGATATTTTTCTTTGCATGGCACCTTTTGTATTGTTTTATGTAATTAGTTTGAAACCGTATCATTAACTACGAAGTCACGAAGCTGAATTTTAATTTTGCAAATTTTATTCTTATTGGTTGCTACATATTCTTTATATGCTCAAGTTAATTTCAAACTCTTGTGCTTATTATATCTTCTATTAACTCTCTTTTTTTACTTCTTAAATAAGAATTTTATGTCGTAGACACTAATACAAAATGTTTTTTTTGGAGGCGGGCGAAATGGATTAACCGAGGCGGGCATCACAACCGCCTCGGTTCAAAGGGGTCACGGTAAATCAATCTTTTCCGAGGCGATATCGATTCAAATGCCCGCCTCAGTAAATCAAATAAAAAAAACTCGTGGACGAGCCCGCTGAGCCCATCGACGGGCCCGCCAAGTCCAATGCCACTGCTGCTAGATCTGCGTGTGCGCCGCTGTCGCTCACCAAGACCACCGTCCACCAGATCTGGCATGGAGGGAGAAGGGAGCCGCCAACGCCGGAGCTAGGGCCCGCCGGAGCCGGCGTGTAGGAACAGGTCGGGCTAGTTGTCGGCGTTGCTCCGCCGGGCGAGTAGGTCACACTCGAGCCATCGACGCCACCCTCAACCGCGCTGGGAAGTGCCTCATGCTAAGCCCCGCCGGAGGAGGAGCTCGACTTGGAGGCCACCGACACCAGACTCTAGCACAATGCTTAGGGAGGAAGGGAGAGAGTGCTCAGGGAGGGAGGGAGAAAGTGCCAACACGGTGTGTGAGGGAGGGAGAGGGTGCTCAGGGAGGGAGAGAGTGTGCTCAACCGCCATCACTGTGTGTGAGGGAGAGAGTGCTAAAGAGAGAGGTGAGAACCACACAAACCCTAAGTGTTGAATTTATATTTGAGGTGCACTATCAGGCCGAACTGGGCCAAGCCTTTGTTTGGCTGCGACCTTGGCCTCTTAAGAGGAGGCCTGCCTCCGAAAATGCATCCATTTTTAGAGGCATCCTAAATCTATTTTAGGAGGCACTTATTTTTCCGTCTCAGTAAATCAATTTTGTGAGGCAGTTAATTGTGACCACCTCGGTAAAAAAAAGCCCGTCTCCAAAAATCCCCTGGCATTTTAAGAGGTGGTTGGATTTCGTGACTGCCTCGGTTAATAAAATGACACCACCTCACAAAATAGTTTTTGTAGTAGTGAGAGTACGTTCAAATACTGCAATACCATAAGCAATCATACTCATCATTTGAAACATGCACCATATCATTTAACATAAGTGATAAAACTTGAAGTCAAATCTCGGACGGGGTTAGCAGTGTTAATTTTGATAGAATTTTAATACTTAATAAGCCTTATAATGGTTGACTTTTTACTTCAAAGTAATGTTAAAGGGATAAGAAAATGTAGCCATCTGGCCTCACATACTTCTCAAGATAATTGAACTTTCCTATAAAGGAATTATATGTACAGTTATAGCTATGCTATCAATATATAGACATGTCAAATATTTAAGTTAAAATGTATAAATATATCTAAAGTAACAACCTATATAAATTATATGTCATAGTTACTAATATGGTTTTAAACAACTTGTTAGTATCATTAGTATATGAGTTTTTAACAAAATAATATGTGATGAAACATAACATATATATTTATCGCTCATGCATGCTATTCCGACGTGTATGCTTACTTTAATCAAATCTTAATATATTAGTATTGATAGACGTGAGTAGTGTAGAAACATATTTATGCATATATGGTTATTTTTTTTAATTAATAGAAGATGTTGACAATTTGGATGTAGATGTGAGGGGATATTTAATTTTTCTAATAATGAGATGAAAATTGGTATACGTAAATTATCTATCGTAATAGGAGAGGAGGACATGGGCAATTAGATGCAAATTTAGGTCTACTTTAGATCATATTTCTTAATGGCATAGGTGGGTAGTTTAAACATAGACTTTATGTTGTTTTACACAAGAGTTCAGGCGGGTAATTATTTAGAAAATAGAATAGATTTAATAGCTATTATTGTCAATGGTGTTTCGGTTATACGGAATTAATGGTCAGATATTTCTGATTTTTGGGAGATTTTCTAGGATCTCCATTGGGGATCTCTACTAGTTAGAATTCATAGTATTTATCTTTTCTTGCATGATATGTATTTAGTTGAAACCTAAACCTAAGATATATAAACTCTTGACATTCCTTTGTCGGACTTCATGAATTTGTAGTTTAGCTTCAACTTTTAATGGAGTGGTTGCAAATTTTTTCACATGTTACAAACTCTAGTGTTTTTTTATCTTTTATTCAAATTTTATTTTATTATTACAAAGAGTTTAGGTCCTAGTAGTATTACATTCCACATTTTAAGTTGAAACTCAGCTTGCACCTCAGCACTGTGTGTGTTGAATTTGTTATATCACATGATTATATGCTTGCAGTATTGTTTTATATATCATAGAGTGCTTAAAGTAAATTAATAATATTTATATGCCATAATGTTTCATTCAAAATGTAGAAACTTATTTAAAATAACTACTTATGTAATTTATTACCATGAAGTATTAATATAAATTAATGTGAATTGTTAGTGTTATTGCTATGTTGTTTTGTTAAATGAACATTTTGTTCATGCTTCATAAGATATTAAAATAAATATTTATCCTAATGATACATGCTTACTTGGTATATGTTGGTATTTTTTATGTCTATTGGATAATTCCACAAGTGCATAGAATATACCGTTGTAGCACTTCACCCGGGGTATTCCATGGTACCGTTATTTATTTTTATCCCAAGGAAAAGCGGTAGCTAGGAATGATAATAAAAGAGAGATCCTTATATACCACAACTTAGTATCAACTAGTATTGGGGGGGGGGGGTTTAAATGGAATATGGTAGGAAGGGATGATGATGAAACAAGCCAAGATAAAGATGAATAAGATAACTAGTAAGTATAACTAGGTGAGAGGACAACGAGAGAGTATAGGACTTCTATGTTTCTAACTCTACTCTTGTAACTTAACCAAATCACACAATTGAGACACAGATTGATACCTCACAATAGTATGATAGGCGATAGACAAGACAATAGGAGATAAAACCCCTACCCGAAGCGGCTACCTTGTTACTGGAGCCCTACCTTTTAAGAACTTGCCTACAACACGTGGTGGACTACAAAGGCTAGACAGGGTTATCACCACCTGCTAGTTACCACAAACAATCCATGCAACAAGCGGTAACCAAAGGTAAGATCGTGTATAAGCACCATGCTTACACCTTCTCTCACTACTGTAGCTGTAATTACGAGGCCAACTAGAGCACCCTGTGATAGGCGATGATTGCAATATAGGTATGTTTCCAGGATCACAATCTAGTGTATAACAACTCTATGACTAGATAAGCTACAACAATACTATAACTAGTATAATATTGCACAAAGTAAAGACTGAGTAAAGTAGAGAAAGAGTAATATATTAAATAAGGTAAAGTCTTACAAAGGAAAGGAAAAAGTACAAGAGTTATACTAGACTCTCCATAAGACAGCTCCGGAAGACCCGAGCAAAGCTCACTACTCAACTCTAACTCCCACTCTAGACTACACTACTAAGATAAAGTGGACTAACTACTCTTCACTTGAGCTTGTAGGCTTCTTCACCATGAATGGAGAGGGGGGAGTGACCCTCTATTTATAGGTGGAGGTAGAGGGGGTGCCATGTCATCAATTCAGGTACCTTCTCACCATGGCCCTTGGATCCACTGACCTTGAACCGACCTTTGATCAACGGTTCAGATCAAGGAGGATGCATGGAGACATGCATAGAGGCGGTGGCTAAATTTCAGGTCGGTTAGCTCTTAGCCAGGTCGCCTAACCTCCAATGACAAGTAGGCCCACCCTCCTTCTAGTAGCATGTCCCACATGTAAATTAGTGTGTATGGGGTGTGAATCATCTTTGTCATGTCGGATTTCTTCACTTGTGGGCCCATGAATCCATGTGACTTGATCCTCCACCCTTGAGTGAAAACACAAGTGTGATCCAAGGGTGGGTAATGACTTTGGGGTGCTTCACATGGATCATGGTGACTTGGCATGGCCTGGTGGGCCCAAGTAGAGGCCGAGCGACCTATATATGGAGCTTCACTAGCTCATCTTCTCCAGTTTTGTGACATCCTGCATACACATGCTCAAAGTACAAGTGGAACTTGTTATTGATAAAATATGCTCATGACATGTTATTCATCCTTTGAAACCGAGGCTGTTGATAGTGTTTTGATTGTGTAATTTTGTGACATTTTCACCGTTAACAAGATCCCCCAAGCTTAGCCCTTGCTCATCCCAAGCAAACGATCAATCTTAGCCTCGGTGGATCAAGAGTTGTTACTATGCTTCACATTTCAAGAGTACCAAGTATGCAACAAACATACTTCTCTTTGAATGGAAAAATTAGCAATGAAAACTCACCCATATTACCTTAGTCCTTCATGGGGCATATGGCCTTTTCCT